CGCTAATCGATTAAAAACTGGAATGTGTTGATTTAAATATGTTTAAGTACATTTATAAAAAATAAAGGTTTGTGAAATTTTAACAGATTTTATACTATTTTGATCGTTAAAAGAACTTACTAGAGTGGGTAAATTAAACAGTTAAAATCATTGGCAGACATTGTGTTCCTGCCATCTAGCATCACCGATGATATGTTTTTGTAAAGTAGTAGTAAATATAGCTTGCTGTACTTAATTTCTTTATTGGAAATCTTTCGTAGATGGCGCTCGCGGGAAATGATTTTATTTAATATTGATTTTATTTAATAACTGTTGCATTGTTGTATCTTCGCTGGCAGCACCCGTTCACGGGCATGACGCATGAACCAGCCATCGCTTCGCTCAACCATATTTTAGGGAATGTAACGATCCGCCTCATCTGACACCGCCGAAGAGATTTTTAAGAGCATAACTACCCAAACCAAACTGCAAAATGTGTACCAGTGGCAATAAAATAAATTGAATTAATCAAAGACTTTTTAATTTTATACACATTATAAATTGTATATAAAAAGTACAAGTTAGCTATTTTAACTAATTCCTTATGTAACTAAGTTTAAATATTTTTTTAATAACATAACTATTTTTCTGTTAGTTCTAAAATAAATTAATTTTAAGTATGTAGGTACACACAACAATACAACTTATATGTATATTTTTTTTTAAATCATAACATAATAAACTTACAGGTTAAAAATATAACTGTATTTTATATAATTAAATACAATATATAAATGAAGCTCTTTTAACAATGAAATTATAATTTTAACAGATAAATAATAACTTTAGAGCTTAGAGCTTCAACAAATGCTTGAGAGCCTTGTTTGAATATTGATACAAGTCAGCCTGAAAAGTATCTATTGAAATACAAACTAATGTACTTCCACAGTGTACTTCAGATAAATACAGACATGATCTTAATAAAACACTGGAATGTACATCAGGTAATATTACTTCTTTACAAATAGGCACATAACAACAACCTCTTGTTTTTAAAATAATGAGATAATTATTATAACTTTAGAGTTAAACTCTTTAGAAATACAAAATTACTTCTTAATATCAGCTAAGGTCTCAGTATGATTGACAAATGCTTAATATTTCAAACATGATTATGTTGTCTTCTAATTTATGCTTTAGAGTGAGAATTTCACCTGCTAAGGGTTAGCACGAACCAATATGGAATTTGAATAGTTGAATTCAACATCAATATGTGTCAAATGTCAAAGAGTTATGTATGGAAATTTGAAAAGAGCCACAACAGGCGTCATTAGAATTAAAAAATCTTCCTTACAAAACTTTTTGGCACTTGATGTGTATGGAGATAAAATTCAACTATTCGAATTCAATATTGATTTGTGATAATTCACCAACCAAATATTTAATATCTCCTTTCATATTACTAATGGTTACTAGATTGCTTTAATGGTTCATTTAATACCAAAGGTATGTCACCACCAGCATCTTTAGGCACCCATCCAACAGATTCATCATCAAGTCTTTTCTTTTCTGCTTGGAGTCTTTCATGTTCATCTATTTCGATTTGGTATTTTGGTGTAGTTATACCAAATAAGTTGGCCAGAGATTCTCCTGCATAATCAACTGCATTCAGCATTTTATTGCCAGATTTCCAAGCATAGTGAGAGAGCCATGGACCCCACGGAAGAGTTTGCTAGAAATAAAATAGGTAACACGGTTAAGTATACAATAGAAACACTATTCAGTGATTGATTTTGTGCAATCATTTTAATTTTAGACATGACTCATCATTAACGAAGGTTATTAAAGTTAAGCACGCAATAACATTTTCATCAGTTTCAATTAATTCTAGCCAATGCATACTTCTGCAGCCATCAAAATATTCAAAATAAATCATAAACTTACAGGGTCAACTTCGTTAACTGCAGGGAGTTCACTTTTTAGTTCGCATGCCTTTTCTTCTTCGAATTCTTCGTCTACTCCATCACTAAAATGTAAAACTCTGGTGGGTTTTTTTATTGTCACCTCAACTTTAGCATCGGTATTCATATTTGGTTTCAATTTTTACACCAAGTTAAACCAGGAAAGTTTTCTCAGTCAAATTTTGTTTACTTTTGTGAATTGTTATTGTTTTCACAGGTTCACACAGATTAATAAGAATACGTCCAGTCAAGCAAGAAGTCCACAGCATTTGTTTTTTTAAAGTTTTATGGCCTTGAATTTCTCCATTTCGGCCATTATTAGTTAATTTCATCATTTTATATGTCTTCGAAAGTATTCACTACATATCCAAATAATATAGGATATGTATTAGTGTTTTGTATGATAGATGGCAATTGGCTGGGTATTCTGCAATTATTGTATATCTCTATTAAGCCATCTATCAATAAGATTCTCTGTTTAAAGAAGGCAGGATATTCTTATATAAGATGCTGTAAAGTTTCCACGCTCTTGGATTTACAATACCGACAATCATTTTAGTCTTCTAGTTTAATTCTGTTTAAATTCTCCCGGAATCTTCCATGACAAATTCGTAAGCGGTTCATAGTTGTAATATATTATTTTCTAGATGGATTTTTCAATTTGTGCCATGGCTTCATAGGTATTACATCTTGAATGTTGGCATACCATGCTCCTTTAACTTTTCTAATTTCTTCCCAATACTTATTCCACGTCATATACATTCTGTCTTTTATTGCACTATATAAATCCGTAAAAGGAATTGAAGCATTTTCATGAACTGGAATGTCGAAAGTACCTTTCATCAACGAATCAGCTATTTCATTTCCTGTAATACCTGAGTGAGATGGCACCCATAGAAATTCTTAAATTTTTCCCATATCATATAGAACTTTTAAAATTTCTTTTGTAGAATATATGTATATGTTAATGTAGTATTTTCCAAACATTGCAGTCACGTCACTAGACATGGCTTGATCTGAATCGTAATAGTTCCAGGAACCATGTCCGACCCTAGAACGACATTGTTCCTTTCCGAAGTGTTAATAGTAATGGTAATAACGGCTGTTTTAGCGACTAAAACTATTGTTATTTTCTAACAACTGTTATTGAAAACTGTTATCCTGTTATGTTGCTGTTTTCCAAATGTCGTTGCGTACAGTTGTATTTACATAAATGTATAGCTAGCTTATTAGTTTGTTAGAGTTGTTCTTAACGATGAACTTTCCTTCATACTTTTTACTGGCTTATGATTGTCAGAATATTTGACAGTAATTTTAACAATTTATTATCTATACTTATAATAAATCTGTAGAGAGGTCAATTCTGTACATGAAATATATTTTCAAAATAACTATCAGGGGGTGATTAGTGATCGATACTGATGCCAAAATAGCAATCAGTAAAATTTTTGTCTGTCTGTCTGTCTGTCTGTGTGTATGTTCCTTATAGAAACAAAAACTACTCGACGGATTTTAACGAAACTTGGTACAATTATTCTTCATACTCCTGGGCAGGTTATAGTATACTTTTCATCACGCTACAATCAATAGCAGCAGAGTAGTGAAGGGAAATGTTGGGAAAACGGGAGAAGTTACTCCATTTTTTAAGCTTCCGTCGCGTGTGCAGCCTTAATGGTTAAAGTTACATAGAAATCATGTATGACGGAAATATTCTATATAAAATTGTCTAAAAAATATCCCGCAACAGCATATGTCTATCTTTTATGGTTGACTCACAATAACACGTGTAATTATATAAATAAAGTAATTGTTTATAGCACAAGCTTGAGAACAAAAACTATAGTTTACACTACAGCTCTACACCGAAGCGAAGCGAGGGCGGGCCACTACTCGTAAATAATAAAAATAATATTCTTGCGTATTTAAAAGTTTGTACGTAATCTGATGCTTACAATATTTACATGAAATATTTAAAATATTATTTTTATATTTTGTGGTTTCTAATCAAGAAAGAAAGAAAGAAATTTTATTTGTAAAACATTCATTGTGTGACCTTAGATGATGTTAATATAGTCCGACTGTCGAATATTATAATTCGAAAGAAAGTTCTCCTTTATTTCCATTAACCAATCAACAACACTACACTAAAGTTCTTATACGTAAAAATAATTTGCGCAACCTGACTTTGAAGCGCAACTAATAATTTGCATACGTGACACAGACCAATAAGAGAACAAGTTATACGTGATCAGAAAATGACAAATAATTTGTTACATAAAAACTGACAACAGTTTCGCAAAATAACAATGTTGTTATTTACTTACCTGTAATTTCAAATAGAATTGAAAGGAGACCCGGCACTTTTCATAGAAAAAATGCTAAATTTGTATACAGTTGAATTTGGTCTTAAAATAAAGCCAAAATTATTTGCTACATAAAACTACTTTTGCCTTATTTTTAGTGAATCGTGGAAAGAAGTTATTTAATGATTAATATTTTTTGATATGGAAACCCTAAATCTTCAAGGGACAGAATTTTACTCAAGTGACTGTAAAAACCATGATTCCTTTGCTTTTTCTAAATAAAAAAACCAAATGTCAATTTGACAATCCTAAAATACAAACAAAAAAATAATTCGCATTTCGCATCCGCTCCCGCGTACTGTGATTATGAATGTTCTCTGCTGTGATTGCCTTTTTAACCGTTATTTCTCTTGACGACCCGGCTACATATAGAGGTTATATTGGTAAACCTACGTATTTGACATTGACAGCTAGCTGCTGATGACAAATATTGCCAGACTACGTTACCCAATTATGAAACACAGATAAAAAAATTAAAAAAGTATACAACTTTGGCACAAAATGCCGGGTGTCCTTTAAATGAGACTTAATGTAACTAACCCGGCATCGTTATCGCGCATCGTTATTCTACAAACGCCCACCCCTAAAAAGTACTCTGTGGGTGTTATGACCGAAATGGAGAAATTCACGGCCGAAAAACTTAAAAAAAAACTGGGTTATGTTTTGTTTACCATTGTTTACCACGTAGCAAGCTGTTTGTTTACCACACATTTAAAGTGATCTGATCTGTGCCCTGTGGTTTATCATACATACAACTTTAAGGCAACTGTATTGCATTTTAATTTTTTATGCATTACACAAAAATTTAACGCAAATTCGTAGACAGAGAATAGAAATTAAACTTAAAAGGCATGGAAGGTTTTTGTAGAGGATGCTTGATAAGATACGATGAACCAACCGAACTTGTACCTTATACGGAGAGAAATAGTATGTTGTATAAATATTCTACAGGCATTCAAGTGAGTATCAACAATAATTTAACTACTTTCTTAAAAAAAGTGAAAAAATCTCTTGTCCGACGAAATCCGGATTAAACAGAAGAAAGTAGAACTGCAAAATTTCCATTCCTTTGATTTACTATTAGAAAGATGCAGTATAATTGGTATAATTCATCCGGAAATTTTATACATAAAAAAGATTTTTTTTCTCTCTTAACCGTGTCAGTTCAGAAGATAAAGAAGAGTTATAAAAGATTTAACTTAAATTTTACCAGGGGTCAGTGAATTCGGTCTGTACAGATTAAAATTTGATGTTTGACCAAAAATTTATCAGTTCTAAGCATCCACCAATGTGTAATGGGCTGTTTAGTGGGTTAAAGTCCTTTCTCTCATACTCCACTTTCCTCCAGCAGTTGAGATATTAAAAGAAGGAAAAAGGGAGTAGAGATGTCCTATGTTGAATTAATGATAACTTGGAACTGGACTGATTTGCAAATGATATAAGTTATATACAGTTACAAACATTTGGAGGTTCTGAACATTTGGATGCAATAAAAGAACATAAAACAACCTAGACCGTGCAAAAACAAATCAGGCATGCTTCATCATCAGCCAATGGACATTACTCAAATGTCCATTGCTGACATCGGCATAATTTGAAATCTGGCGCTCCGGGCCATTTATGATATCCACCCCCCATGGGTGGATATCGTAAATGGCCCGGGGCGCCAGATATGGTAAATTAAATCAAAAGGTTGGTAACAAACAAACCAGTCTATGCCGTTTGCTGCCTCTTGCAGCCTGCCGTCCTGGGCCATGGCCGTCTTGCTCCTAGAGTAAATAACGCCCCTGACTGTTAACCAAGGCCTCCTCTAGGAATTTCCACATAAAAGAGTCATTCTCATTCCATTTTTTTAGGCATGTATATTTGAAATATTTATGAACATCACATGTTACCACAAAAGTGAAAGATACTTTACATTATTAAGAAAAACCCAACCAATTCAAAATGGTTGGGATTTAGTAATACCTTTACATTGGTATTTTGGTTAACTCATATTGTAAATTTTTGTCACTTTATAATTGAATGAATAACTGAAATCATTACTATTGTATCTAGCAATGCAGAAATTTGGATTAATTAGCACTAATATATTATACCAACAATGTTTGTCGATTGAATTTTAGATTAGAGATTGTGGGTTTTGATTATTAAAAGGAACATTAGATGACTGGACATTGTTGATGGATTTTATAATTAAAAGTTTTACTTTTCAGGTCAAGCACCATGAAGTTGCCTTATTCCAATTATGCAAAGATTGCCATGTGAATATGAAATTGTCCTGCAAGTTCAAGAAACAGTGTAGGACATCTGATAAGAAATTCAAACATTATGTGTCATTGAAGGAAGCAGGTGATGCATATGACCTTACTACATTTCTGAAAAGCAATGATGAAAGCTTGAGGTGAGGTTTAATTTTGGGTGAAATTTATAATAATTGTGTAAATGAGATAAGACGACCTCCGTGGCCGAGTGGTTTATACGCCGGGTTTTATGGTGTCGCCGACTCGAGAGGTCAAATTCCGGTGGGGGCAGATGTTTGTGTGATGAATACGAGCATTTCTACTCCAGTCATGGATGTTTAATATATATTTCTATATGAATCTTTTATATAATTCTTCTGTGAGTGTGTATGTCACTGAACTTCTCTTAAACGACTGGACCGATTTTGATGAAATTTTTTGTGTGTGTTCAAGGGGATCTGAGAATGGTTTAGATTCACAATTTTGTCCGCTGGACAATGTTTTTTTAATTTTTTTTTTTATGGGGGTACGAAGTTTGCTGGGTCAGCTAGTATTCTTATATATGTACAGTATATGTATTCTATCCGTTACCCTAGTATCCCATAACACAAGCCTTACAGTGCTTACTTTAGGGCTAGGCTAATTGGTGTGAGAGTTGGAAATATTTATTTATTATTATTATTTATTATTTAAGATGAGCTGTTTCCATAATTTGAATCTCTGCACACAGATTGGACCCAAGTTTTATGAAGTTAATTAGCAGGATGTATGAGATGTGATGATGCCAATAGGACCTTTTTAATAGTTATTTTCCACAATTTCTTGCCTAATTTGTGGTTATTTTATACAGGTTTCCATTGCTGAATGGCAGTAGCACACCACAAAATCCAAGAGTCGGTTCTGAAAGAGAGAATGATGATAATGGTAATGTAAACACAAACACTGAGGTTTTAATCGATTTATTAGAAAGGACAATGGGCAAAACTCACCCAGCAGAAAATATGTAATTAGTATGAATCGATAGATCTATGAAAAACACCGAAAATAAATATCCTGGGAGTCAAAAGATATGACACCGTAAAAAATATCCTGGTAGTCAATAGATATGACACATGGCATATTTAAGTAGCTGAATAAATTCAGTTTATACTACTTTCATTTTATATTATTAGTAATCGTAATAATATGCCATATCGTACTATACAACCAGATATACGACAAAGCCTGCCGAACATCCTGCGCTTGCTCTTACCGAGTCATTTCAAAACGGTTTACGGATGATGAAGTACTTGCAGTTGCAAATAGTCGACTCGTCTTACTTCGTTGTGATTATGCGCTCCCTGCTACTTAATTGATTTTTATCTAACACGCTTTGGATATTAGAACACGATTATCGGTTTTGTCAATTAGTATGGATGAACTGGAATTATGTGTTCTCCGAAGCGTGGACAAGTTTGTGTAATCTGTGGTCGCTCCGTTTTACATATCTTCTATGTAAAACGGACAATTTACTATAACGAACAGTTTTAAAAAAACCCAACCCATGCGGGGATATTTGAATTTACTCTAGCGTGGCAGAATAACATAAGGCGGCACCCTTGCACATTGTGAAGTACTCCCATAACTCCTGAGCACTCTATGTAGAGTCCAACTAACTAACTAACTAAATAAATTCCCTTGTTTCATTAATGTTTGTTGGTTATAGTACTTGTACACATTTAACTTAAAATAACTAAAGACCCCCGGGATGGAATTTGATGCGCTTTGGCACAGAAGATCTTGACTATAATACCTTTCAAACAAATGTAGTTTAAGCCGTGGCGGACGTGGGTGCAGCGTCCATACAATTTTGCCCAATGTCCTTTACAATAAAAGTAAATCGTGTTTTGTGATTTTTATTTTCATTCTATTAGCTCTTGCTAGCTAAGAAAAGCTCTTGTTTTAGAATCTACATGTACCAGCATTAGAAACTTCATGTCAGATATACTGCAAGGTGAAGAAGTACCGGATACTGAAGCCCATTTAATAAAAGAAGTCATTGAAGAGGATCTGCTAGATGATACATTAGACTCACATCTACTTGATGATATCTCCCGGGATACTGATTTTAGGGATTTAAGGTAAACACTAATTGAACAGCTTATTGTATACACTTTTTTGATAAAAGAAGTTATTGAGAAGGATCTGCTAGATGATACATTAGATTTGCATCTGTTTCAAGATGATATTTCAAGGGATACTGACTTTAGGGAAGTCACGGCGAGGAAAAAATAACCTTTGGGGTGTTGTGATAAAAATAAGCGAAAAAGAAAATTGTACAGAACGATAAAGATCCTAAACTATTAAATATTCATGAAATTTGTTGAAATATTCTATTTTATGCTGACGGGAGTGCTGCTATCTAACTTGTGCCGATTCTCTGTTATTTCAGCACTGTTGCAAATGCCATGACCACTGAGTACATGGTAGCAATCCCGTCAATAACATAAATTACAATAACGTTAGTGACCTTGAAAGTTGAAATTAAACAGTATAGAAATATTTTTCCCATTGTTTTTTTAGTTTCAGTCCATTTTCTACTCCACATACTACTAATCATGACCATTGCTATTCGCCATATGCAGAAAATGATGCTGTTATAAATGATTATAATAATATTTCTGTCAAAGATGTCCCTCCCCTGGTGCAGAAAGACAAAACTCAAGACTATCCAATACTTGAAACTGCAGAACCTACTCCTCATGTAGAAAACAACATTGATCAACCTGAGGGTTTGTTTGAAGAAATTGCGGATGAAAATGTGAATTATGTTACTCAAAATGAAAATGATATAGCTGTAACAAACGCAGAATATGACAGTATTCATAACGAAAGCTTTTATGCTGCTAAAGCATTACAAAATGAAAATGATCAGTATAGAGCTGATACAAATTGTACAAAAAACCAAGATAGCATGGCAATCAAACATTTACTTGAATCAAATGTAGATAATGAATACCTTGCTAGTACAAATTTATCCTCATGTGGTATTGTTGCAACAGAAAATATTGATATTAATCAATTTAAAAATGATAAAGATAAAATCAATTTTACATTGGAAGTAGAAAAACATATTGCAGGAAAAGGTGATCCACAAACCAATGAATCGAATAAGACTGAAAATTATGTTCTAAAGATAAACCAAACTGATACAAGCATAAACGTAAATCATGATGAATTGTCAGGTGAAGGTGTAAAGGTGACTATTGTATTTGAAGCTATCAATGAAAATAAAAATGATGATGATATACAAAACAAAGAAGATATTTTAGAAGAATTCAAAATTAAGGCTGATAAGGATTTTACATTGGATGATTTACTAGTTTTGCCCATAGGTAATTTATATTAGTACTACAACTTACCATGTACAACGAACTAAGCTAGACTAAAAGTAGACTTAAAACTTAAACATGTACAGTGTACATGTGTGATAGTTCTTCTCCTGTTTCGTTGTTAGTTTCTGATATATACATATTATATACATACATAAAAGAGTAAATCAATATAAATGAACTAACATATTTTATTTCAGAACATTCAAAAGCTCCTGGTGCATCAACGCCATTGATCAATAACATTCTATTTGGAGAAAAGCTTGATCTTGATGAAGACATTGTGAAATGTGATGATAAAGAGCAAGCTGACAAAGAAGTTAATGTCTTAGATGAAATGTTGAGTCGAGGTGTTAAGGAATTCAGTATACATACAGTAGAAAGCCAAGCTGCCGACGTGTATGACACAGAACAATGCTACTGTAAAACTTGCGATAAAAAATTCAAAATACTCAAAGGACTGAAGCTGCATTTAGTGAAATTTCATGGCATCAAGTTACCACGGGCTAAATCTAGGGACTTTGATAAGAGAGTTAGAATATGTTCAATTTGTGGGGCTACTTGTAACGACTTTAAAAGTTTTCTTAGACATCAGAAAAAGCATGCGGTACGTTTTTATTACATTAATTTGTTACAAGTCGTATCAATTTCAATGAAGTAATTTCATATTTGTATTGCTATTATAATGGAATTATTCTATTCATTTTCAGAGCCCTCACGAGTGTAGCATATGCAAAATTGATTTCCTTTCTCAGGCAACATTGCGAAATCATATGAAGTCTCATTCAAGCGCATTGCATTTAGTTGATGAAAATAAAGAAATAAAAGAGGTGAGTGTTATTCCTTCCCGCTAATATACAAAACTGCATAAATGCCAGGGCATTAAACAAATAAAAAATATACATAAAATAGTTATTTGCCTACAAATTACAGATAAGCTATGTAATAAGTATATGTTATTTAAAGTTGCAAAAGTTTTCAATAATTGTGAATATGAACTTCATTTGCAGTTGCATAATGTTACATACAACCATTAGCTTATAGAGTACGCTGATTAACACTGCATCAAATTGGTTAAACTAAAGCATTAAAGTAATGCTATGACGTTTGAGCTTAGCCATAGAATTTTCTTTTGTATAATTAGTCCAGTTTTAAAAATCTTGAAAGGCAAAGGGGAGCGGGACCCATACAGCCATCGTTTGTTGTTGAAGTAGCCATAAACACTACATTAACGAAAAGATTTTCATACAAAGTATTATCCAACCAAAAAGTATAGTGGCGTACTTTGATTATTTACTCTCTAGATAGAGCGTCACCTTGTAAATACTGCGATAAAAACAGTGCAGGTTTTATATACTTGAGCGTGACACGCCAAACAAAACACGGGAATCTTGTATCTTACCCTCGCGAAATGTCACTTTTTGTGTGTCAGTACGCATGCGTATGATTATTACGCATGCGGACGATGATTGTTTGTTAGCAGGATAGGCCACATTTCCCACAAAAATGGGTAAACTTAATCAAATCAAAATTGTTCACACAATTAAAAATCATAGACGTTGAATCATCTGTAAAACGTATAAAGGACAATGTTAAAATTGGCCTAAGAACCAACACCAATTTGGCATTTATGATAATTCTTAGTATATTTTTTGCGATAATTATCAGTATTTAGATTGTGACGGACACTTCCAGTTAAGTAAGCTCAATTAAAAATAATCTGAGACAATAAATACCATTTTATGTGTATAATCTATGACAGCGCTGCAAACAAAACACTATTTCTTCCTAATGCCGGCACTTCACTTGCCTTAGTTTTCCAATTACAGAGCATAATGCGACTCAGTGGCGCACAATGCCGAATTATAATGATGCTTAATTGGAACGTGAATTAGTTTTCAAATGCACCAGCAGAGTGCGCTAAGTCAATGTTTGTACCTTCATCCATACTTATATTTATTTTTTTAACACAGTTTGGATTAACTTTGATTATTTTAAAAGAACTACAATGAAACAAACGCTTGAAAAAATTTTCAACAAAACATAAAGAAGAAACACTTGTTAATTTTCTGTCACTGAGTTGGTAGATTGCACGCATCACACGAAAACATTAGGTACTTTTGAGAGTGCTCGATTGTGCGAAGCATTGCTGTAGTTGAAATATTCAAAAATAAGCATTATGCCGCATAATTCGCTCTAGTGCTGTAATTAGAAAACTACCCTTATTAAGCATGACAAGGACAAACTGTTGTCAAGTGAAGGGCCGGCATAAAACTCGTTACTCTGTGGTTGTGGTGCAGGCAGTTTGCATTCGTAGTAATCTGTGGCATTCGTGCATTCCAAAGAGTAGTTTAATATACTGGAAAGTGCATTCTCGTTTCGGATTAGCTGTTGTGTGTGTTTATTTGCGATTGTTTTTCCTTTAATTTAACTATTTTGGCTATCTGATATGCCATCAATGTTACCAAAGAGAAGAGTCCTTATTACCAAGTGCTAGTGAACCTGTGCCACAACATCCTGAGAGGATCATACTGCTTAATTATTCAAGAACACAACATCCGACATACATTCACGCTGCATATTTACACAATATACATGTGATATACAAATAAATACAATATACAATATTATACAACTACGTGAAAAATAGTCAATAAATATGAGGCAAAACTACAGTTTTTATTTTATTCATGATTCCTACCTAACCAAGTTTTTCCTAATAGATATTCTTTAAAATCGCACCGAATAAAATGAATTTGTTGTAATATTAATTTACTTTATACTGAGTACATACTAAGTTCATAAGTTGACCTATGTTTCATTGAATATTAAACATAACCTCAAAAACATTTTAGTTTTCCTAATAATTTAAGTTCTCAGAAGTGTCCGTCAATAATCTTTGTTTTTACAGTCATTTACTTACGATTTCGAACCTAGAAAATAATATTTCATGATTGTTGGTTCTAACTATGTATGGACGCTGAACAATGCCCTTTATACCTTATTTATTATAACATTTATTTATTAAAAAAAAAAACGGAAATACCAGTCATGATAATAAAGAAAGAAACAGCAAAATCGACTTGCTTGAGATGAAGGGGGACATGATAGAAAAAAACATGAAATTATTTTTCCTATTTAGAATATTTTCCCTTAAGCCATATAAAATTTCAGATCTTTCAAATAACTTATATATACCTTCGAAAAAAAAATATAAGCCTGAAAAAGGTAAAAATTGCAGACTTCACTTGTTCGTCATCAGTATTTTTTTTTAATCGAAGCTCTCCTCATTTTTGGAACTGCATACTTATTTTTGATTACGCCATACAGTCAGGCCCCGGCGGGCATCTTTATTTCCATTTGCCTCCGGTGGCATGAGAGGAGCGGCAGAGGCCATAGAAAGGCATTCAATACTGCCCTTTATTAAGTGCCTCGAGGCGCTAAATTTTAAAATACATCCCTACTCAGTCACTCTCTTTGTCTATGCTTACAACAAATTTAATGTACGGAATTTTATACACACGAGCTTAACACGCCAAGTGCGTGTCGGGTTTTATTGTTTCACTAATTATATAATAATAATAAATATATTCAACACACACACCAATTAGCCTAGCCCCAAAGAAAGCACTGTAAGGCTTGTGTTATGAGATTCTAGGGGTTACCCTTATTCTATCCGTTAGGATAGAATACATATATTGTACATAATTATATATGTATATTGATTTAGAAATACATATAACACTTCCATGACTGGAGTACAAATGCTCGTATTCATCCAACAAACATGTGCCCCCCCCCACCGGGATTGGAATCCGGGACCTCTCGAGTCGGCGACACCATAAAACCCGGCGTATAAACCACTCGGCCACGGAGGTCGTCATTAAAGTTTAATAGAATACCTAAATAATATAAGTGATTATTTCAGAACCGCTTTCTTTGCAAGATATGTGGATGCGCGTTTAAAACAGCAGGAAATTTCGCAGTACACATGAATAGACATTCTCAAAACTATCTTGTTACGTGTGAAGATTGCGGTAAAGGTTTCTATAGAAAATCAGATCTTTCATCTCATATGAGGTAAGATGCACTGTAGCTGTAACATATTTTATTATTTTTATCTTAGGCACAAGTGCAATAATAAAATTCTATCACTTTTTATTTTTGTCTTGAGCAAATTTATCAAGTATATACCTAGATGCTTATTCTATTGATTTTATCATTATATTGTTATCAAAGAGCAACACGGATGGGAGTATTTTTTTTCTTCTTTTGGCAACGACATTTCGGACTCGAAAACTATTCGAATTCAATAATAGTTCGTTCCCGGCGGAATGTCATAAGAACTGTCGATGCCCTCGAATTAAAATAGTTTGCGAGTGCGAAATCTCATTGATTGATATAGTTCTCGTTACGTCCGTTATGGCGCTGCTGTTTAAGTTACCATAGAAATATTTGACAATGACATTTCGCACTCGAAAACTATTTGAATTCGATAATGGTTCGTATTAAGGGTACAGTTTCTATGAAGCAGCGCCCCTATCGGACGTAAGAATAAACAAACTGGCTCCTTTACTGGATTACGGATTGGTCAAACTTCGTGCTTGGGCATGTAAGGTAGTGGTACCAGTGACCAACAAGAACCAGTTATCGACACTTTTTTCTGTTTTCAATGAAAGTAATGGCTCAATCAAATAAATAAATGAGGAGCAGGCAGAACAAAACGGTATAATTACGCATCTGGTCAAACTACTTTTTTTTACAGTCCGGAGGTTTCGGGCCCGTTGAATTTGAATCTCAAATAGTTTTCAATCAAAACCACCTAAGGGCTGAAACACATAACCGCGTTGCGACGCCGCAACGCTAAAATCGGCAGTTTGCGTTGCGGCGTCGCGAAAAAGAGCGTTATATGGTATGGTAGGGTAACCCATTTCTCGGGATTTTTAATTGTGGATAAACGTCTCTGCCATCGATCGTCGTAAGAAACTTATTGCTTATTTGTTATTAAGAAGACATTACTCTGTTTTAAATATACGACAAAGAAAATACTGCTTACATCCATTTAATAAGGCTTTGATTCCCGATTTCGAGTACTTTTCTCGAAAATACAAAGCATTAAAGATGGAAGAAAATTCTTTTTCGCTTACTGTAGAATGCGTTTATTGTCATTTGAAGAGCTATTAAGCGGGTTATCAAAATATATACAAACGAAAATTAAAGAAAGGAAACCTGTTACTGCTTCGGAAATGCTGGGCTCGACTGTAAGGGAAAGTAAAACAAATATGTTTTTATTGATATTTTTTAATAATATTGTTGTTGTTTCCAAGAGTGATAGAAACAAACTGAATCATTGTCAACAAGTCAACAACAACAACGTCATAACGCTGGAATTAGCGTTGCTGTGCGGCGCCGCGCCGCTAAAATCAGCGCTGCCGCCACTGCCAATTTTAGCGGCGCGGTGCCGCAACGCGGTTATGTGTTTACACCCTAAAACAGTGTTAAAATTACTAAAATTATAAATAAAAAACCATGTCGAAAACTTACTGGAGGTATGTTATTTATTTTTATACAGCTCCTGTAAAATTAAATTTTATGTAATTATACCGTTTCCTTTGCCAGCTCCTCAAATTACATTTGGTCGCTAGCCCATACTCGGGTGTACGAAAGACATTATTCGAATTCGGGAACCTGAAGCAATATTTATCCTGGATTACGGGCTGGAAGATGGTGTCGGGTATCCAAAACCGTATTCGGGTAGCGGACGCATTCAATACAGTCCATTTACACTTAGTCGTGTACCCAAATTCCACTGGCACTCGTATTCGTCTAACGACCAACTTGTCATTCGTTTTTACTGTTTTTGTCATTCAATATCCTTTTAATTAATCATAATGTAACTTTGTGAGGGAAAATAAAACATTCATTCATTCAAGTGTGATCGCGGCATAAGAGTGGGTGGCCGATCGCTAAATGTGACATTCGCACACAAACGACGACACAATAAACCGCCAAATCTTGCACACATGTATTGTTTGTATGCCCGATTCAACAGAGGGGAAAGCTGTAGTATACCTTCTCCTCTCCCTTCCCCTGCTGGCCGCATCGCCGTGTTGCTCTATGATTGTTATTTCTGAAAATACTGATATTTTACCAAACTAGACCATCTCAAAGCTAATTCCATCAAGAAATCCTCGACATTATTTTTCTCCTTTTTAGTAAGTAAGTCTTTATGTAAATTTCTCCCCGTTTCTTGTTTCAAGTCAGTTAAAAATAATACTCTCACAATTTTCATTGCAGGGTTCACACAGGTGAAAAACCATTTCCGTGCAAGTTCTGTGATTCGAGTTTCAGAGTTAAATATAGTCTAGTCAGACATATGAAAGTTCACCTCGGTGAGTATGGTATAAACTTTTAAGAATACGACTTCATATCAATAATCTTGATTTTTTAATTTAGATAGAGTTGTATCAACAGCCTATTAATTTACCCCCTTCTGGGGCACAGACCTTCCCTGTGGATGGAATAGGAAGATAAGGAAATGACCCACCACGCAGGCCCATTGGTGTGTGCTAACTACTGCAGATGCAGTTGGGACCAACTACTTGATGTGCATTCCGAAACACGGAGGAGCTCGAGATAGTAAATTTTTGATCACCCATCCAATGATGGACCACTGCGAAACTTGCTTAAATTCTGCGATCGCAATCGACGCGCTAACCACTAGTCCATCGAGCTCCTCAAATCAAGTTGTATATATGGCATGAATTATTTAAAAGAAAATCGATAACTATATAAGCCATTTTAGTATCTACATGGGCTACTTTTTAACTGCTAAAAATTCGTTTTTTTTTTTTTCAATTAATTATAATAATAATATTACCATTTATTTTCTCCTCACAAAAGGTGTAACAGTACAATAGGTAACTAGCCTAATCAATATAAATACATAAATCTATTATGTGGGAGACTGGTGCTCATAAAAGGCAACTACGAATAGCTACCTGTACTAAAGGTCACCAGGTCATTATGAATCGTAAGTCAAGTAGATTAAAGCCCAAAACCATTTGGAAGGTTTTGGGTAGGTAATAGTCTGTTCACGAAAACGTTTCTTTAGCATAGAAACACTTATACGAGACAAGGATGGCAAAGCACGTCATACGAGAAAGGAAGTCATGGGTAGGGAGGGGTAGATATGATGCCGCCACTTTACTTTGCTATTCGTGTTTGCTATTTGTGAACTTGATATCAGTCTTCTTCCTTTCTTCCTTTTCATTGTAAGGGTCGACCACCCTTAACATGAGGATGAAAAAAAGATGTCCGATTCTCAGACCTACTACACTACAGAATATGCATTAAAATTTCACGAAAATCGGTCGAGCCGTTTCGGAGTGCTTAGTTCAATTACGCACACCGTGACACGAGAATTTTATATATTAGATGTATCCAAAAATTCAATAAAACATAGGAAATGTAAAGTTTACATACAAGACGGAAAGATATAGTCTGCATCTCTCCACATGATTCAAAATTCAAATTCAATATCGTTTGTTCAGTCTAGACAAGCACTTGTGAATGTAGAAAAGTTACGCCATCATTTGGCAAATTTACGGCGGGAGACCTTGTACTGAGAAGAACCGGCAAGAAACTCAGCAAGGGCTGTTTTTTTCTTCCTGTACTATATACCGAGTAAAATTAAAAATGACTTCAAAATGAGATAACTCATGAAGTCCCTTACCTATACTAATGTAAATGATATAAAAATTACATATTTTCATAAAGATTGTCTACTTTCCTAAGTCCTTTCTTATAAAATAAGTTAAATATAGTTTTAAGCATAAACTATTTTAACTGTAAAAACGTAGTATTTCATTATTTGCACAGCCTGACATACGAACAGACTGGAAAATTACTTTTTATTTGTAATTAAACTAAAGCAACTCCATAATTTACATTTACTGACATAGACAACGATTAAGTACCTACTTTTAAGTTGTTAATTTATTAATCATTTAATGTATTATTTTAGATCACAGAATCCTGGACAGGTACAATTTATACTGTACTAGTTTAGGCAACCTTTTCGTAATTTTTATTATTGATTATTATTACATAATATTGAGCTTTTTCTGAATAAATGTATATTATTATTCTTTATAAAGCATGATAAGGACAGACTGTTGTCAAGTTTACAAATAGCAAATACGAATAGCCAAGTGAAGTGGCGGCATGAAAATATTTAAAAAATCGTAAATTTATTCATTGCGCTATAATTAAAATATTTTGTTTCAGACGATAAACCGTTCCAGTGCGACGGATGTTCCACAAAGTTTGTATTGAAATGCGATTTGGTCCGCCACATCACCAATTCCAAATTGTGTATTAGGAAGCGTGCTGGTTTTCTACCACCGACAAGGAGTGTTAAAAAATACGAGTGCGGTTATTGCAACGAGAAGTTTAGTACAAGACCAGAATTTTTGAGGCATCAAAAGAATTATAAACCCTGTAAAACGTTACACTCTAAAGGGGTTTGGGTCAATGAGGAAAAGTCGCCAGAGCGTGAAGAAACGCTAAAGGAGATTGATGAGGCAGCAGGCTTGGAAGATGTCGAAATGCAGGAAGAAATTTGAATAATAAAAAATTAAAACCTTCATTGCCTTGTTTGCCTTAAGATTTAATGTATTTACTAGCGGTCCCAGCGAACTTCGTACCGCCATAAAAAATAGGGGTTGGTGGTAGAAGGGTGAAAATTTAGGGTTGTATGTATATTTGTATGATGGATCATAAAAAAAAATGACAATAAAATTTTTTAAGGGTTACCCTTAACATTTAGGGGGATGAAAAATAGATGTTGTCTGATTGTCAGACCTACTGAATATCCATATAAAATTTCACGAAAATCGGTCGAGCTATTTCGGAGTACTTAGTTCAATTACGTACACCGTGACACGAGAATTTTATATATTAGATGTATCCAAAAATTCAATAAGACATAGGAAATTATTTGACCAGTTCAGTCTTAACTTGTTTCAAGCTAGTATCAATAATACAATTTATTACAAATGCAAAAATAACGAAGTCAACTAAACGAGTGAAAATAAAAATAAAACAATAAATATATTTAACATCTGATTATATTTTTACACAAATCTGGATGTAGTTAAAAAAATAATAAAAAATAATCCAGCAGCTTTACATTTAGGGGGATGAAAAATGTTTTAGATGTTGTCCGATTCTCAGACCTGCTGAATATGCATATTCTGACGATGCAGACCTGAAAAGGCTGCGAAACGTCGATAAATAAATAGAGTTCGTGCATTAACCCGTTAAAACTAGTTTTATTTATTGGCTTTACAATGAATTACATGAGACAAAAGGTTCGGCTCAAGGTTTTAACAAAAAAAATAGTCTTATTAAAATAAGTAATTGAAAAAATTGTGAAGTTAGGTTTAAATATGTCTTTTCATTTATAAAGTGATTTTCGATATAAAAACATGATTTATGATCTAATAGGTTAAATAATTGTTGGTCGGATTATACAAAACATGCTGGTAGGATAAACATGTTTTATGAAATTCAGAAATAAAGGGCCGTTCAAGTATTACGTAAGCAGATTTATTACAATTATTTACCCCCTCCTCCCCCTCGTCAGCAAAAGTAAGGAAAGCTCTTAGACCTCCTCCCATGCTAACGTAAGCATTGGTACCTATATGAATTTTTCCTTTAATGTATTATGTTTTTTTATTGATTCATGAGCTTTCATGAGCTTCATAAGTAGCAGTACTTAAAAAGGTTTAGGATAGAGGACTTTAACGCACGTAGTATTTATTTAAACTAACTTTATTGACACAGTATTCTGCATAGAGTAAGGTACAAATATAATCTTATTAATTACTATTACGAACAAAACAAACTTTTCCAGTTCTTCAGTCCATGGCACCCGAATCCATGATGCTGACGTAATCACTATCTCGACCGCCCCCGCCACCCCTCCAATGTCAATGTCATCAAAAATAAGCAAAGCAAAGACCCCCTGCCCCCCTATAGTGCTTACGTAATACTTGAACGGCCCCTAACAAATAAAGATTATCACCATACTCCTTAGCAGGTGAAGTAGGTGTTTTATGTGAAAGAAGAAATTAAGTTAATAATATGTATTTGACTTATAGCGATGAAAATATTTGAACAATATCATTAAGACCGGTGATAATAACTTGTATTTTTCCAACATAAGATTAAAATGCACATATTTAATCGTGAACATTCAGCTATCGCTACCGCTTACACTATTTAGAATTACACAAAGATTATAACTATTATAAAAAGTTATTTAAAGCAACATAATATTATACAACACGATACATTTCAATGGATGATTGGACCCATGTAAGTTATGTAGTGATAATGGTTGCCTTTACAAACACACGAAAAATGAATTTCACGAGAGACACATTGTGAAAATTACAAGAACATTGGATAAAGAATTGAGAATTTAGTTGAGTCAATTAAAAAGGTTTCTAGTTAAACAATATTATCTGGCAACCAAAAATAACACCGATAACTAAAATTGGCCGTGTTTTCCACCAAAAAGTCCAGAAAATGCTTCATTTTGGAGCGTAATTTTTTTGTCTCACATGGATTTACTTGAAATTTTCACTGAAGAGAATAGCACTAGAATTTTTAAATCTATATCATGCCGAGGACCGCTTTTATCCTGGTATTTATTTATTACTTTTTAACTATAGAAACATAAAAGAATCATCGTTTCTATTGGGTTTTTCGCGAATAATTGAAAAAATATCCATCATCAACAGCCTATCCTGGTCCACTGCTGGACATAGGCCTCTCCAATTGCACGCCACTGAGATCGATCTTGGGCTACTCGCATCCAGCTCCTGCAATGTGACTTGCGCAAATCGTCACTCCATCGTGCCAGAGGAGGTCCTACACTACGTTTGCCTAGACGCGGTCACTTCAACTTGTTAATCCGGTGGGCTATGTCGATGACTCGTTCTCTGTCGGATTACCTCATTTCTGATGCGATCCTTCAGAGAAACGCCGAGCATAGCCCTTGCCATAGCGCGTTGAACGACTTTGAACTTGTGGACCAGCCGTACCGTCAGTGTCCACGTCTCGGCTCTGTATGTCATCACAGGTAGGACGCACTGATTGAAGACTTTCATCTTTAGGCACTGTGGGATCGACGATGTCAGGACTTGACGTAGCTTCCCAAACGCTGCCCAACCTAGCTGAATTCTTCTATTCACCTCGTCCTCAAAGTTGTTTCTACCTAACTGTAGTGTCTGCCCGAGGTATACATATTTTTGAACAACGCAAAACGAAAAAATATCCATTTCATAAAAAAACAATAGAAAACTTGTACTTACAATTACTATGTAACTAATACGGACCGCGGCTTGTTAATAATTAGCTTTTGCTTGTCAAATACTAAATACAAAAGATTCGAATTCAAATAGAGGGAAAACTGAATTTTTCGAGGAAAACTTATACAATCTTTAGAGACTTTTTGCATGAAAATTGAGCAACTTATAATAAAAATAAGATCGGTCCTCTTTAAATATGTATTATCAATACATTGTAGAAGTTGAAATGGGTTCATTTTAGAAAAAAATGAGCTTTAAGTGAAAAACGATTAACTACGAAATACTGGAGTGAAAAAATAAGCTAAGCACTGAATTGTAGCTTTATTTATTCAGAGATATTGCTTTGCGTGGATTTTTTTAGAAAATTAATATTTAGCGAAATATGGCCGTTTAAAATCTCTATTTACGGGCACCTTATATGAACCCATTTCAAAATCAAGGGATTTAAAGAGACTGGCGACCACCCTTAAAAAACAACCAGCAGCGTCCATCGTCATGATATCGATTTTGAATTTTAATGCAAATTGATGCAGGACGAAACAATAGGGTATATGACAGTGTTAAAAATAAAGTGCCAATTGTTAGCATCTGTGTTTAGAATGGTTTGGCAGGGGTTTTTACTATTTTAACAAAAAAATATTCATAATTTTACTAAAAACTAACGAAAAAGATAATAGTTTTCTTATCTATTGTCAAAACGCTTGGGATTGGCGGCGCCGAAAATGACGTCACACGCAAGTAAACTTCCGGTTAAAGTGACATTACATTGTATCGTTTGACGTTTTTATAACAGTCGTGTGACGTCACACACTAGTAAGACGCCATATTGTCCAGAGAAACGTTTTCGCGGCAACTTGAAAATGGAGTTTTTGATTTGGTTATTTTTACTGAAATACACAACAGAATGATGAATATCCACTTTTTACGGTCTCCATAAACACTAGTCAATAACGTGAGATCGTTTTCTTAAACTTGTCAAATACCCTATTGCGAGGTTTTGCCATTCGTTAAGCTTCATTTCATTTCTTCGAGTTTTCAACAAAAAAAAAACATTGTGTACTTTTTATAAATATGGGCCTATTTCTTTTTGTTTATTAAACTAGCATACTTATGCTAGTTTGGCCGCTTACTAGTGGCCACCAAAGCTTATAGACGCTTGCAATACAAAAAATATCACTTGCGCTATTGCCTACCCTGAATTTTTGCATGAATCCTAAAACTAAGTTTGACAATACTATGACCTTATCAAAGTCTATAAATAATGAAAATGAGAGACTTTTTAGATTTAGGCCCATTGCAATAAAAAGTAATAAATTTTAGAGCATAATCGGGGTACTATGTTTTGTAAGAAATATTTATTTTTGTTTAATACAATTTATAAATTAATAGTGATATATATACTACTACAACTATGTAGGTAATAAAATAGCTTCTTTATTTTAAAGCTATATCAACCTTTTCATTCTGCCAGACAACGTAAAGGTTAGTCAGGCAGAATATGCTTTTCCTCATTTTTATCCTTGACCCTATGTTAAAAACAAACAAAACATTTGGCATATAAATCTTTTGTTGCCAAATGATGTATATTGGAATTAAAAAAGAATAGAAATTTCTGTAATGGATCAACTTTTTGTCTGAACACGGTCAGAAATGTAAAGCAGCAATAGTCATATTTTCTGAACGTGGTCAGAAATGTGACTATTGCTTGGTTAAAACTAAAAGTGTTCGCGATAGTGCAATAATGTGGCCATAGAATAATATTTTATTGTTCAATATCAAATGAAACATTTGGGTCGATTTATATGAATTTCAGTTTAGATATGCACTGTAGGTTTTATGAGATTTAACGATTGTAATATATACATTTTTCAATGCATACTACGAATTCATGCAATAAAATTTAAACAGTAAAAGGCTTTCAGATTTCCTACAAAATAGTAACAATGTTTAGGCTTATAAAAAGTTTCTTTAGTGCCTAGAATCCTAGACTATATCACACTTGATTACAAAATAATCATTTAACATTAAAATAAATGTAAAGAAACAGATTCTTAATGATCGTAACTAATAATTAAAATAAATATTATTACTGCTTTTTAAATAATGGTGACTTAATCTAATGTTATTATTTCTACAATTCACTTTCATGTACCTATAATTTATTTTGTATTTCATTTTTATGTAACAAATTTTAATCTAAAACAATTTATTGTCAAGGATAATTAGAAATCAGTTTATGCACAGAAAGTGCTAAAACAATAAGTATTTCTTTATTAAAACAAAATAAAGAGCAAAACAATAACCTCTTTAAAAAAGACCTCATTTACATGATTATACGAAAACAATAAGAGCAAGTAAGAAGCAATAATTATATGAAAAGAAATACTAAACAAAACTATAAAACAAAATTAACATTCTCATGTGAAATCCTCTCGAGTTCTCAATGTACATAATTTAATAAACATTCATAGCCTAACTTTTATCATCATATACAAAAACACCAGAACGTTGCCACTAAAAAAAACCTCGCATACTTGCCGTAGCAAAATTTTTTATCTAGTAGAAATTATCGCTTGACAACTATACACAATCACTCTTAGCTCTATCAGCACCTTGTTTAAGTTCTAAGTTTCTCACCAGTCGGGGATTAAAACTAGGACTTTTGTCCCTTCGGCCTGTGTGTGACCACTATGCAGTTGTCAGCGATTTGATCCCGTATGGTGCTATTCTCCTTTCGCACTTCAGCAAGTTCTTGATTGAGTCTTAATATTTCTAAAACTAACTTTTCATTTTCTACTTCTAGTTTTTCCAACCTGAAACCAAATTTTGGTGTTAATTTTTTTATAAACAAGATTGTTGTTTTTTTCTATTTATACAAATAAGCCCATTAAATTCCAGTCGCGATAGTCGCGGAGTCCAGTCGCGATATAGAAGATATAATCCCTCCCTATAACTCTTTGGAGTCTTGGCAGCAAACAAAACTTTATAAAGAAGATGGCACAAAATTAAGGCAGTCATTGTATAATTTAGATTTTCCACCAGGCAAAAGAATAAAAAGCAAAATCTAACTATAAAACGGGCTACATGTTTTTGGTTAGACAAGGTTTTTGAGTTACAAAGCATGCATATTAAAAATACCTATATTGAATAAAATGTTAATTAAGATTCAAAAACACATAAATTATTAGTACCTTAAATATTTATGATGCAATATTGTATTCAAGATTGTGACAAAATTATGACATAAACACAGATAAAGTTTTGGTATAGGTTTTTTGAAAATCCCTCAGGATCATAACATTTTAAGGGACAAAATTATCCTATGCTCAATCCAGGTCATAAACTATATGCATACCAAATTTCATCCAAATGTGTTCAGGAGTTTTTGAGTGATTGAGTAACAAACATACAAACTTTCACATTTATAATATTAGTTGGACTAGCTTTGTCTGCGAATGTGTCTGTGTTAACATCGATATAGCTCCAGAGTGAAAAGCAACATAGGTAAAAGCTATTTAACCCCCAGGAATATTGTTCTTAGAAACTTACTTCTTTTGCTTTTGTGTTAGTTCGGTAATGTGGTCACAAGCTTTAGCCAATATGCCACCCTTGCTGGCGGAATCAGGCAAACCAGAGTTGGGAACTAAGGCCGCCAGTTTTGTGATCCAACTGTTGATTTTATCTCTTCGACGCCTCTCCACTTCGTTATGTGTTGCACGACGTTTATCGTCGCGCTGAAAATGGTTTACAATAAGGTAACAAAATAATATTATTAGCCAGGGACAGGAAGAAATGGGCCAAACAGGAGGAGGTCTTTGCCAATGGGCAACCTGTACATGTGCCGATATTTTAATATTATTCGCCTATAATATTAAAATTTATTAATTTTAACTATGTAATCAGAGAATAAAGACCAGTTTTATTTTATTTATTTTATAACAATATTATAATGATGGAAAGTCATGTCATAATTCTTTAATATTAAGAGAAAGTATGTATTGATTTATCCATATACATGGTTTGAGAGCTCTATTAGACCAAGACTTCACCTAAATCTCATCAAATGTCCATGGGAGAAAATTAATGTCGCTTTGACTGCAAGGTACAAACATGTGATGATGTCATAGACTTGGTCAATTCTAGCCATGATCATGTCATGTGACAATTTAAATAAAAATCTGACATTTATAAATGATAAATTTATATTATCAATTTTGTTTCAAATTTTTTGTGTCAAAATGTAAATTAAGCTGCCACAATGATATTAAATATGGATAACAATAATCATACCCTGATTTTTCATACTAACAAAAAGCCTTTTAGACAAGGGTGACTGAACCTGTTCCATCAACAATATTAAATACCCTAGATACAGCAACACAAACAAAATCTTGGTCGAAACCTGTCCAAAAGGTACATGGACAATCCACAGACCTCAGTAAGAAGATCGCGTAGTCAAAAACAATTCAATGCATTTTTTTAAATATTGAAATTCTTAATTAAAACGCATCCATCAAGGAGTTATGACAGTTCGAAATGTAAGCTCGTATTTTACAATTTATTGCTAGAAGTGGAGGAATATAGACCTAATTTCTTTGACCTGTTTGCAATATAGCAGGTACGGACCGCGTGGAAAAGAGATGGATTTATAACCTACCATGCATTTGTATATCACAAATTTTTCTATTAAATCAGTTTATAGCATTTATTAAATTGATTAGATATCTGTCGAAAAAACGACACTCTACCTTACTATAAATATTTTTTTCACATTTTTTCATGAAGCTCGACTTTTCAAAGGTCTGCGCATGACTTTGAACCAAGAAATGCTGGAGTGGAGTTGTAGCACTTCTTGATTGGGACACATTTTGACTGTATATGGTGTATATAGGGTATTTAATATGGTTGTGTTCCATTCTGAACTCATGCATGATGCACAGTGCACTTCCACAAAAATTAATAATAATAAGGAGAAGTTATATGAAGTTAAAATCTTTAGTTTCGTAATTAAAATGAATATTTACCTTCTTTGTTGTAACTGCTTTGTTTTGCATAGCTTCTCTACGGGGATTAGGTTTCTTTTGAGCTTGTGTAGGTCCAAACATCTCTACTGGATTACTTATTACATAGTACTCTGTAAATTGTGCAATATATGTCTGTTAAGTAACAAAGAAAATAATATTGCCTATTCAATTCTTTAATGTTAGCACTTCATTATGGCTTCGTATTTACTATTTGTAATTTTGACAACAGTTTATCCTTATTGTGCTCTATGGAGAATAAAAAGTAAAGACTGTTGTTATATTTATAAATAGCAATGTGAAGTGCCAGCATAAAAGACAAAATAAGTCCCTTTGAACAATATAAGAATAATGATGGGCTATATGAAGTTATCAATTATTTTTCTGACATTTTATATTCTTAATTAGTAAAATTTTATAAATTACTTTTCACCTAATAAACATTTAATGCTTGACCAATGACATATGTGTTGTGCAAATGAATTAAAGGTTTGGGGAATTAATCTGTCTGTAAGTTGCATATTTTGATGATGACAACCCAGAATACAACACATTGGAAAAAAATTATGGATGCTTAAACATAAAAATTAAATTGTCATACCATGTGATGGTGAATGTGAAGCGATGCTGGTTGTAGTTTCTTCTCCCGTCATTGGTATCAACTTGTATGTGACAGATCCAGCTAATAAAAGAAGACAAAAAACTCATAAAGTATTCATTACAAGTGAACTAACAATAATGATTAATGTTATTTTATCTAGCAGGTAGGTTTAAAATATTATAAAATTCCTTTTTCTTCTTTACTGGCATTAATATGAGCATTAGTACTTAATTTTGTGATTAAGTATACAAAACATGATTCATGTTGGTACAAATAAATTAAATTGAACATAACATCGAAAATTATTCTTTAAAAGATCAGGAGTTATTAAATGTATGTGAATAAATTTATCACTAACCATAGACATGAAGTAGGTAACTCAAATAGGCAAACAATGTTAATAAATTAAAAGGTTTGTACTCACAGTGAATATCTCTGTAAGAATAGGAGGTACTGTTTTCATTTGTGTCCAAAAACTGTTGTGTTACTAAATGGGTTCGTTCCTCTGCTCCTTAAATTAAAAATTATAATTAAATTTAACCTTAATTCAATAACAAGTTAATTTAATTGATTGAATATGCCAACTGTTTACTGTAAACACTGTTTTTACCAATGCTAACATTATAATTGCAACTTACCAAAAGAGCTCTCATCCACCATACCCAAATATTCACTGTCAGCACTGAAAACAAATAAACAAACTTTACAATAAATCTAATTTTGCTAAAGGGGCTGCATTTTAAGCCAAGTTGCAAAATTTGTGATGACCTTCGTTGAAGTTTAATTTATTATTATGTAACAACAACAACACTGCACTGATACTTCATTTACCTGTTATCAAGTGAATTTTCATGTATATCATCAACGTCCAATTTAATTTTGGCCATTGCGCGTAATTATTTTTGAATTCTCGGATTTTGATCACGGGGACAAAATAAAGGGTCATGTGATTTATGCATAGACAATAAAACTACAGATTAGAGAGGTAACCAAACCACAGACGCTTTCCATTTAAGGTTGTGCGCGCACTGCTTCAAGATATTTATAAAACGTTGCCGTTTTCTACGAGTGTGTGCTTACCCCTCGTTTACACCAAGGTATAAATGTGAAGAATTTGTTAGCTTAGCTTCTTTCAGGTTCTTTTGGATATAACTAGCTTACACCTTGCCCAATACACTCATAAAATAAATTAGTCCTTTGGGATCACAAAAACCAAATTATTTGCATGGAAAATAAAATTACACCTTCTTTTTAGACAGCTTTCAATCCCTTATAAAAATCGAATCACTTAAAAGAGCATATAAAAGGCTAGTTGACTCATGTCGAATGGAATAAATAAATGTTTATTTCTTAAAGTATTTGGTCTAAGGAACCTAAATATATCGATTTCACTTCATAAAAGCAGAAGATTGCTGTAGAAATTTTAATTTTAAAAAATATTTTTTAGTCTATATTTTTTAAACACTAAAAACGCTGTTCGCCACATGCGCCATGATTGTGACGTCTCTTGTTGTAGTAAACAACTAAATGTCATTCGCGTGTTATTGTGGGATTCTTGTGTCTGACTTAATTTATTTTAAAACACTTTTAACTTTAGAAAAGTTTCCGTTTACTATTTTTTTTGACAAAATTAATTATGGATGCCGGCTTTGTGAAAGCAGAAAGCACAAATCTGCCAAGAATTGACGCATTGATGGTTGGTGAATTTTTTGCACAAAACCCGGATTTTGCTCTGCGGAGCAGAGAAACGACAAGGCATCTATGTAAGTACAGTGCATTTAGTATTACAATGATGTCGATTCTGGCATGATTCTCTAAAGCTAAACTTAAATTTGACAACAGTGCATCCTTGTCATTCTCTATACAGAATGAAAAGGAGATACTGATGTTAAATTTAGTTAGAAGTTTAGAGAATCACGCTAGAATCGGCACCAATGTAGTAATAAACATAAAATTGATACAACATATGAATAAGTGTAATAAATCTGCGTAGGTTAATTTCTATCGGCACTTTAATCCACAAATAGTCTGTGATCCACAACTTTCCTGGAGTCTTCAAGGATGTGTTTTTATATTCTCGTACAATACAATAATGATTTTTCGTGGTATTTATTAGAAATCATGTTTTTTTTATTATATACTCAGATAAGTTATTTTTATTTTATATTTTAGTTATTTTTTTTTATTGCTTACGAGTTTTTGTTTACTACAGGTTGACGTCATAGCATAGATAATCTATAGACTAAAATTGCCGACAGCGTTTTTTGTATGTCTATGAAAAGTCTATTTTAAAATTAAAGATTTGTAGCTTACTAGTTCTCAAAAAATACAATACATTTTTTTCGGTCTAATAGAACATTTATTAACCATTTAAAACCATTTTCCAAAAAGGGTCAACTAGCCTATTAACAACCAAAAAAGTTATCATGCTCTAGGTGGACCCACGACAGTACTATCTATGTACATGTATTTAAAAAAAATATTCAATGTTTTATTTTTTTCTTCACACATATTCATGTATAAAACATGTACAATACTTGCATCAAACTTGGTGATTAAACATAATAATTATATGAAATAAAAAGTGATGTATCCTCTTTTAAGATACTAATTGTCCATGCAGTGTATGTAAACGAAATAATGTTGCCACAACAAGTAATCTACAAGTTTTGTTTAAAATTAGTTGGTCTAAGGGTGCGGCCAGAGTGCACTCAGATTCAGAGTCAGATTCAGATTCTGAAAACAAGCGCGAGAAATAAACAGTGTAGTCGAAGGGTACGGCCAGATTGCACTCCTGATTCAGATTCAGATTCAGACTCAGAAAACAAAGCGCGAGAAAAATCAAGCAACCTGCTTAGACTACACTGTTTATTTCTCGCGCTTGTTTTCGAAATCTGAATCTGAGTCTGAATCTGAGTGCACTCTGGCCGCACCCTAAGACTTGTTTCTTGGTGGGAGGGTTTAGGCGTACCAAAAACAGGTGTAAATATTTTTTTAGATAGGTACTTTAAATAAGTTAGCAGTTATAGGTAGCTTTCCAATTACAACATTATAGCGCATTATGCGGCATAATGCTTAACGTTGAGTGTTCCAACTACAGCAACGCTTCGCACAATTGAGCACTCTCAAAAGTGATGCTTTCGTGTGATGCGTGCAATCGTACCAACTTAGAGACAGAAAATTAACAAGTGTTTTTTCTTTAAGTTGGCATTGATCGAAATGATTTATTTAAATGTTATCATTAGTAATATTATTTATTGTTGAAAAATTATTAAAACTTTCGTTTCATCATAGTTTTTTTAAATAATCAAAGTTAATTCAAACTGTGTTCAAAATTAAATATAGACATGGATGAAGGTACAAACATTGACTTTTTTTTTCAACACTGAACTTGGCGCACTCTGCTGGTGCATTTGAAAACTAATTCACGTTCCAATTAAGCATCAGCATAATTCGGCATTGTGCGGCATTGAGTCGCATTATGCTCTGTAGTTGGAAAGCAACCATAATTAACTGCATAAATGAATGACAAAATATCATTTTAAACCTTACAATAATACCATGTTTATGAATATTAAACTCGAACTACTGCCATCTAATGAATAATAACAGAACTTATTGGTACCCGATAGCTATGCTTTCAAGTATCTTGCTTTTAGTTTCCCTACTCGCCACTCTTGTTGATATTGGCGCCGTTGGCGTCCTGTAGGTAGGGATGCAAGCTCTATACCATGCCAGGGGGCCAATCGCCTAACGGAAATGCTTTGGAAAACGCTAACGCTTACGATTTTATTTTGTTATTTCTAGCCGCCTGATTTATTCAAATGCCTCGCGCTCTTTCTTTTTCTTTTGCATTGGTAATAACAATATTAAAAAAAATGAGCGTGAGGTATTCGAAAACCTCAGGCGGCTAGAAATAACAAAATAAAATCGTAAGCGTTAGCGTTTTCCAAAGCATTTCCGTTAGGCAATTGGCCCCCAGGTCTCATATACTAATTAATATGTATATCTATGTACCTATGTATAAATAATTTTATCGAAGCAATGTAAATAACGATATCCGATATCCAAACGTGATATTATCGATATTTTTAATATTTTTATGCGCTGTAAAAAGTAATTTGGAATGCATTTATTTGTAATAAATTATTAGTTCTAGAGTCTCTCGAAAGAGAGACAAGAAAGTTATATGGGCCTTAGTTCCCGTTAGGCATTACATTTTATTGTACCCACATGGTATTTAAATTCCTTCTATTCAACATTTTTTCAGATACATTACGTATTATGGTTCTTAAGGTCTTGCGATTTTGAAACGGTAATTATTTAGATTTTCTTAGATTTAGGCAGCCATTTCAGGTAAATATCTTTATATATATAATTCTTCTGTGAGTGTGTACTGTCACTGAACTTCTCTTAAACGACTGGACCGATTTTGATGAAATTTTTTGTGTGTGTTCAAGGGGATCTGAGAATGGTTTAGATTCACAATTTTGTCCGCTGGACAACCCCTATTTTTTAGGGCGGTACGAAGTTCGCTGGGTCAGCTAGTATTGATATAAAATCGATATAATTTTCCGATATACTGTTGCATTGCAACCACACCTGTAACGCTCAATTTTTTTACCCCGCGGAACGGCAGCGTCAATTTCGCTTCGTTGCACGAGAATGCGCGATAATTCTCGCGACGATTCATGTCGAGCAATAAATTGTTCTCGTGCTCCTACCCGTAGCGGTAGAAGATCATGTAAGACATTTTTTACAAATCTATTATACAGTCATAAATTAAGTAAACAATGCTCGTCTTCATCAAACAAACAATTGCCCCACAGGGATTCAAACATATGACCTCTGACAAGGCAACACCGTGAAAGCCTGATTACATAGCACTCCACCGAATAAGTTGTCTTTAAAGGTAGCTAACTAAATCAATTCATAAGAACAGGCAATGGACTTTATTGAAGATTCGATTGCTAACAAATCTCAATACACACTATAAGTAACTTTATCTTCACTAACCGTATGAATACAAGACGGAATTTATTATTTTGGATTAGAATATTCATAATTTGTGCTTTGTTTTTAAGCAGCAATGATTACAATACTCTCAGGAGAGTGGGAGTAAGCTTGCCCTTGTGGCTTTTAAACGATTTTTAAAGGTCCGGCTTAAGGTAGGCAGAAAAAGCTCTTCTATTGAAAAATTCAACTTCCTTTTTCTTTCACAAAATCCGCTATCGATATTTAAGTGACGTGTGAGTTTTTTATTATTTTTTATTTATTTCCTGTATCCATAGGTTGGTTTGCTAGAGTGAACTTCTAACTAAGATTTTCTTTATTTATTATTTTTTTAAATCTAACAAGCTGTTCAGCTATTCCATGCTAATAACAATATTCTGTTACTTATCTGAGTAGGTTGAAATACTGTTAAGAAATTTGGAAATAAAAATTGTTACATACTATAAAAGGTCTGGGTACGCTCCTGTGATTAAAATACTTGAGATGTTTACAACCGCCTTGGGGTAATTTTGGTAAGTCCAATTTTAATTAAAATTTTAAATATTCAGAGTATTCCGCTTAGCTGTGTTGTTATTTTATTTACCTCATTAAGTTAATTGCAACAATATCGGTTACATGAATTGTTACTTGGTCGATATTTCAAGTTTTATTAATTTATCTGTTTGACTGTTTCCTACGTTAAATTATTTTTACTACAAACTCAATAAGTACCTATGTTTTTATCAATCACCAACTAATTGCATTGTCAATGACTTAAAAATTATATTTGTTCCTGAAATAGTAGATCTATCCCTTTAATTTCACCGAATAATATCAAGAAGCTAACCTGAATATGAAATAAGATTTACTTGGAAATGAGTAGGTAAATCTCATGATCGTTGAAGTTAAGCAACTTTCGCAGTGCCCGGTCATTGGATAGGTGACCAAAAATCTTCTATCTCAGGTTCCTCAGTGCTTCGGAAGGCAC